TTCCCATAAGTAGCCTATTTTCCTCCTACATTTAATGACATAGAAAGACCAAAAAGTACCATGATATAAAATGAAAAAGAATGCAATATAAGATTTTGGGATCAGCAGTTAGCGTAATGGCTATGTTGCTGGACTCCCATGTAGTCGACCGTGGTTCGAGTTCCAGACTCGGTGGCTTAAACTCACGCCGGGCGCGTGTGTGTGTGTGCCCAAGATCCTGAGAGGAGGATGGAGGAGAAGGGATTGCAGTGTGGCCACCCTCCTGGCGAGGGATTTCTCGCTTTCTGTCTCTCTCTGTCTTTCTGGCGAGTGCACGCTCCCTATAGCAAAAAACTCTCCAAAAAAAAAGATTTTATATATAGTATAATCTCAATTTTATTAAAATTTTTTGACTAATTTATAAATGTTCATGGGCAGTAGGTTGATGTAGTGGTTAAAGCAGCTGGGTCCCACATGGTTTATTGTGCTGTTCGAGTCCCAGACCTGGAGGCTTGAGAAATACGCCAGGCACGTGTGCATGTATGGCCAGGATCCTGAGAGGAGAACGGAGAAGGGATTGTGGCATGGTCATCCCCTGGGGAAAGGTGCTGTCTCACTCTCTGTCTTCACCTTCCCACCCCGTCTCTCTCTCTGACAAGTGCATGCAACCTGCAACAAATTTTTTAAAAGCTGTAAGTGTTCATGTGACAGGGAATGTACTGTAATGAAAAAAGCATGCACTTGCGGTCAGAAAACCACAGTGTGCATAATCTCTGCAAGCTCCATAAACTTGGGCAAGTTACTTAAACTCGAATCCCCAGGTATTTGATCCGCAAAATGGAGAGAGTAAGAGAAGGATTATGTCCATTTTGAGGAAGTTGAATTAAGATAGAATCAGTGAAATAAAATACATAGGTGACATACACAAAGCACTCGATAAATGATATTATTTTGAGTACGGGATATTAGAACCGGTTGCATGGCCCAGGATGTACAGTCAGACAGGGCTCCCTACTTGGGTGTAATGGTCTGCTGTTGCCCTCTTACCATTTATAATAACTTTGCAACAGGGGCCCTGTGTTTTCATCTGCACTGACCCCTGCAAATTCTACATACACGTGCAAATTCTGCATGCATGCGCACGCACACGCACACACAGAAAAGACTGAAAAGTGGGGCCATCAGGTGGCATAGTGGTTAAGGCACTGGACTCCCACATGGCTGACTGCGGTTCCAGTCATGGACCTGGTGACTTGAAAATCATGCTGGGTAGATGTGAGTGCCCAAAATCCCAGAAGGAGAATGGAGGGGAAGAGATTGCCGTGGCCAACCCCCCTGTGGGGGTGATTTCTCACTGTCTCTCTCCCTATAGTGCAAACCATGAATGAATGAATGAATGAATGAGAAAAGGCTAGAGAGTAGTAAACCAAAATGTTAACAGTGTTGATCATCTCTGGGTAGTTTCAAGAGTGACATTCCCCCCCCCCTTTATTCTCCTGTTTGTTCTTTTCTAAATTGAGCAAATATGAACTTTTCTG